AAACAATGCTTTCCATAGAAGTCGAAACTAGCCATTCTTATGAAGAAAATCTTTATAATCATTTTAACATTCTCAATACAGTCGTAAATCGTTTCAAACAGCAATTAATTTTAGTCGAAGCAAAAGAAAAAGAAGTAGAAAATATTTTCAAAAACAAACGCATTTTTATCGATGTAAGAGATATTAACTCTCACAACGTCATTAATATTGTAAATAAACATTTTAAAAAGGGTAAGATCGCTATATATTTTGAACTTAATGAAAAAGAACATAATGAAGTAGAACAAATACTTTTAAAAACTTTCGCAAACATTCAAAATATTTCTTTTGTAAATTGTACAAACTTTGCCAAAGACATCGAAGATGAATACGAACTAAAGAGACAAATATCGTTTTTCCATAAAATCGAAGTAGGACATTCAGGCATTATTCCAACTTACGAGGGAACGAAGCATAAAGTCCAGAACTAAAAATCAAAATCCATGAAATAATAAATAATTGCGATGTATGTAATGGTGGAAAATATGATAGATATCCAATCAAAGCTAAATATCAAATTACCGAAACACCAAATACAGCTAATGAAATTGTTCATATAGATACTTATGTTAACAATAAACAGTCATTTATAATATTTATCGATAAATTTTCAAAACACGTCATTTCTTTCCATTTACCCGATAGAAATAGTCAAACGATCATTGATAAAATTAATGAATTTATGTTTAATTAAAGGCCAAATAAAAAAGTTTGTTTTCGATAATGAATTTAATTCAAAACCAATACGGAAATTTTTAAATAGAGAAAATATAGAATTTCATGCCACTAAACCACATAGCCATACAGGAAGTTCAGATGTAGAGAGAATAAATAATACTCTTACCGAACGTATCAGAACCCTAAATTTAGAAGGAAAAGTTCCAATTACTATTCAAATGTGTAAAGCCGTAAAACTTTATAACAATTCATTTCATACCACAATAAAAGCTACTCCTTTAGATGTTCAAAACAACAAAGTTAATCATAGCACAATAAAAAATCGGTTAGAAGAAGCAAAATTAAAGACCATTTCTTAACATAATATAAGAAAGGAAAATTACCTAAAAACAAGGAGAGAAGGTTTCATTCGAAATTACAAAAACGTTAGACACAAAGAGGAACCAAAATTTATTAAAAGAAACCTAGAAAACGTACATACCTCAAATATTAAACGCCCTTTTAAATTTGCAAATGACAACAGAAAATCTAACGACAATTAAACCATTTTAAAACAAAAATCTATCCCCTTCAGTATAATGTACAATATATAACTTTTAAAAGAAGATAAAAAAAACAAAATATACCTTTTTCGAAATCCGAATATATGTATATAACCTATATTCCCATCGATCGTCTCAATTTTAATAAATATATACTTACCATTGTTNACATCATCTGGATATATTACATTCCCTACCAATTTTTGTAACTTTTGTGAATCAAAGACCGAACTCATGGAGATGGTTTTCCAAACATTGCTCAAAGTTACGTAAATCACATTTGGTTAAGCGAACGTGTTATATTGGCCACAAAAAATGTTGATGTGAATGAAATGAATTTTCAGATTCAAGAGAAAATAGCTGGCGAATTTAAGAATTACAAATCAGTTGATTCCATTACTAACGAAGATGAAGTTGTCAATTATCTGCAATTAAAAATTGGATCAGTTGTTATTATGTTACGGAACATAAACCAGCCACGTCTGTGTAATGGTACCCGGTTTGCGGTGAAGAAATTATTGAACAACGTCATCGAAGCAACAATTTTAAAAGGAAGTACAAATGCGAAGATGTTTTAAGCCCACGCATCCCTATGATACCGAATGACATACCATTCAGCTCTAAACGTTTACAGTTTCCAGTGCGGCTTGCATTTGCAATGTCAATAAATAAAACGCAAGGCCAGTCGCTAAGTGTATGTGGCATCAACCTAGAAAATCCATGTTTTGCACATGGCCAATTATATATCGCCTGTTCCCGTGTCGGAAAACCATCAACATTATAGAACATAAAACTAAAAATAGAGTTTATCAAAAAGCATTAGAATAGAGGGAAGCAGTGAAGGGTATAGAGGCTATTAATAGTTTTCTAGAGCGCGCGTGGTGTTGAGCTCAGTGTTTACTTCCTTCAAAATGCCAAGTTGTTCAATAGCGATTTGTAAAAATATAAGTGAAGTTATGGAACCCTATGGAATAAACGCTATTATGAAAATATATATTTTRTTTTTCATTTAATAAAATTAGTAAAGTCCTTCTCATGTATGGCGAGACCAGGGAAGTAGGGCTATCTATTATAGATTCCAGTTCAAATTGAATAGGTACTCATACATAAAATAGGTCAGCTATACTAAATAAAGTAGTGCATCAAAGCTACGCTAAGGCGGTACGAAGTTCGCCGGGTCAGCAAGTAAAATATATTTATATATATACTAGAGGACCCGTCCACGCTTCACTGTGGCTGATACATAAATAATACTACTACTAACATTTCTATTAGTTGGATTATAACAATTAGTTAATAAGATTTATCATTTTTGTAAAGCAACTTGTATTAGTTTACAAAAAAATGGATAATAAAATGTGTTAATAAAATACTGTTTTTGGCGGAAAATACTGTTGAATTTGAGGTCAGGGATATCCACCGTTGAAAAGATATTCGTTAAGCTGGAAACAGGCGAAATGAGCACCGAGGGCAATGATACTCTAAAGAATCGAAAACTCTGTACAAAATAGGTGCCTCGGAAGTTCATAATCCAACAAAAACAACATATTCTGAGAAGTGTTTGAGTGCTAAAACCGAACTTTTGCGTCAGTGTGTGACAATAGAATCACAACTCCATTATTTCCCACTGGAGTGCAACCGACAGGCATTCTAGTGGACTGCACAGGATGAACCGGTTCTCAGGCGTGGAAAGACGAAAAAGTCGGATGGAAAGGTTATGACATCAGTCTTTTGGGATACACGTGGTATAATACGTACTCAACGACTGATTACTGAGCCAGTTATAATCTATTTGACTGCGTGTTTGGTTGTAGCTTTTTTTCTACTATTCCAAATACTTAGCAATTGTATAATTTATGAGGAAGACTCTGCTTAAAATTGTACGCA